AAATTGTACGGGCTCACAAGAAGAATGTCCCAAGTCCACTAGAAAAATTTCATAAGTTTAGATGAAAAAATATTCATGTTTTCAATTCTTGGTTAATGTGAAATTATTAGTCCTTTTATGTCTCTCTCAGCCAATAGATGTCTTACATTAACCGTGAATAATTAGTACTCCCTCTGTAAAGAAATATAAGCGTGTTTTGACTAGTAATCTAAACGCTATTATATTTCCTTACAAAGGGAGTACAGCATTGTGTGGATGAATAGCACCTAAAACAGTGGATGTGGAAATACAACTAGGAAAGCCGCAAAATGAACAACTAGGATAGACTCAGGGTTGGAGCACGGGCAGACGGTGATCATTGTCGTTTTGGGTACAACACGTCAATTTTTGAACAGAAAAGGAGTACAGTGGTCAATTTGATGATGTTGGTTTTTGACTTTAGGGTTTAGGACGATCTTTGCCAAGTGGTTGCCCACTCTCTAGTTCAGAAAACAGAGGGAACCGAAAGCAACGGGTGAACAGACCGGAAAGCTATTTGGTTCATATAAATATAAAGAACTACAGAGTGAACATCTACTGCTGCACAATCTACTTTTGATGAAAACACACAGTGCATTGTCAAAATGAAACAGCGCGACAAGCAATCAAAACCATATGCTTAACTGGTCACTAGGCTGAGTACATTAACTTCAATAGCTGAATGGCATAGGAGACATGACCATTCAGAAATTAACTAAGATTATCGGGCGCACCACTTACAGTCATATATAAAAGCTTCAGTACACTCACAAAACAACACCTAACATAAACGGTTGAAGCAACAAAGCAAAGTCCTACGACCAGGTAACAGAGTTGGTCATCATCAAAGGATGATCTTATTGATGCGCACCATGGATCCAGACATGACCGTGGAAATCATACTGAGGGGCAATTTTGGCCACCGAGCCTTGATCCTGCAGAGGAGGCAAATGGAGATGAGCTCTGGTTAGCATCATAACGTGCTGCAAATGTAGGGTCATTGTATGAAATTTGCTTCCGTTGCCACATAAAACAGAGTACGTAGTAAAGGCAGAGAAAAAAACAAAGTACTCCTCAAACATAATTTAACATATAAACTATCTTTATGAATCCTTGAAACTATCTTTTTGCTACTGAATACAGATGCAAAATAAAAGGGCATAATCAGCAACTTGGTACAGAAGATTGCATAAAAAGGACAACTAAGGTAAGGAAGGCTGCATTGAAACCATTTACCACCCACTACTCCATTCAGGTTCTATTATTTGACAAGGATATGAGGGTTTACCCACATAAATTCACTGGTAAGCATATTTAGCTAATACTGACCATTTGGCCACACCATTAGTATTTTATGTCCTTGCTGCATCTATAAGCATGGTATCAGGCATGCAAAACATACTCACCAGAGCTAAGATAAACATAGAATTCCACAGAGGAATAAGCCTTGAACATGTTGTATATATTTGTGCATCCATCGCTACTTGATGAGGCCCCATCTGACAGCTTCACTATCACTTTTTTAAGCATTGGCGCACCTTTGAATATCAGTTTCAAGAAATCAATCTCATGATCGTCTCCTCCAAAGCCATTGATCTCCACTTCTTCAAGAGCAGTCAAGGAGATCATTTGGGATCTCCAACCCGTGGGCTCACAAGGGCAATCAAATGTGCATTCTTCATTCTCCTAATTAAAAAGGAAAAAATATATAAATTACTACTTATTACAGAATGTATTATCGGGGTATATATATAATCAGAGCAGAAAATTACCTCTGATGTCTGTAGGTCAACACTAAGCATCTGCGTAGCACATCGAATTAGATTCATCCCTAGGATATGAAACACGAGTGCTCCAAAAACATGTCCATTTGCTGTGAGATGTAGCTCCAAAACAGAAAACTTAGCAATCATATGCTTCTCTAGCTCCTGTGCAAAGGTGCCCACTCCGCCGTGCAAAATAACAAACAAGCTCTGAAAAACAATTTGGCAGGACATATCGATCATTCACAAAATTTAGTGTAGTCGGAGCACGAGTGTGCAGAAAATTGAGCAGGAGAAGGACCGAACGGTGTAAGCAGAGGCATGAATGTGCAGCGAAGGGAGCTGTCCTTGTCTCTCTGCCGTCTTTAGCTCCAAACTGTCCAGTTGCCAAACACCAAACATGGGTGCCACGAACCAGGAGCAATGCCACGAAACTTTCTCTACCATGGGTGCCAAGGCGGAAACGCTGACTTCCTCCGAGGTGTGAATGGTCATGCTCAATTGTTTAAGCACCGGGGCAACGATGTTGATATTGCTTACCCTGCAGGCGACCACTGCAATCTCCTGAAGCGATGCCGAGTTGACCGTCAGGCCGTCCTTATCGAAAGAAACCAAGGTGAGGTAGAGCGTGCGCAAGCGCGGGCAGCAGGAGAGCAAGCGGTCGATGTTGGCAGTGCAGTACGAGAGGGATAGCGTCTCGAGTGCGGGGAACTCGACGCCGGCTGGCAAGGAGCAGACGACGGAGGAAAGGAGCAGCATGATGGTGGTGGCGCGGTGGAAGCAAGGCAGGTCGACGACGAAGGAACCCTCGATTAACTCCGAGGGGAGCTCAAAGATGAACATCTCCGGCTCGAGCCGCGCGGCGGCGCGGAGCAGCGAGTTGACGCGGGCTTCGTCGTCCGCGCGCTGCTCCTTGGGGACGCGGTTGTCCTGCTTGGGGAGGCGGATGACGATGAGGGAAACCGCGGGCGGGGGAAGGGGGAAGCAGCCGAGCACCGCTTCGAGCGAGCGGAACGGAACGTCGTGGAAGACGATTCGGCGGAGGCGGGGCCAGAGGCTACGCCACCGGCGGGAGAGGATGCCGGTGCGCGCGGCGGTGGCGGCGCAGTGGAGACGGGTGAGGACGAGGAGGAGCAGATCGTCGGGGAGCTCGCTGATGAGATCCGCTCGGGCTAGCAGCCTGGCGGAACGCCGGCGAGGCCCCCATCGCCGGTGCATCTCTCTTAGCTATGGAAAACCACACCGTTCCCCTCCCACCAAATGGATGCAGATGCAGTAACCACGGGTAGGCAGTATGATTCCCCTCCTAGTCCTTTTATTTGCTCGGCCAATCTTGACTGGGGAAGGGTTTAAGTGGGGGGATTGTCGACCGGTCCGCGAGCGGATGCATGCATTGCTGCCATGACTGCGAGCTCTCGGAAATGACAACAACGCCGCCTCGTTTCCTAACTCCGAATTTAATTGGAAGTTCGTATATTTGACCCATTTAAGAAAACTTGCGCCACTTACCTTCTTATTGTTTTTCGGTTCTGACGCCTTGGACCCATTTTTCAGTGTTGACTGTGCATGCTACGTTGGCTGGTTTATTTTCTCATTTGCTTTTGTCTGGGTTTTTTTTTTATTATGGCTGCACGCCAATTGGCTGAATTTCAAATTCGGGCCAGTCCTTTTTTTGGGAAGGAAGCAGCGGTCGTGCGGAGCGCCGAGCGAGCGAGGCTGCAGACCGGCGCCGCCGTCCGCGACTTCGCACAAGAGCGAGCCACAACCGACGGCGAGTAGGAGGAGGCGAGTCTGAAGTTTGACGGAAAAAAAAACTGGTGGTCGCCGGTTTAGAGAGATGGCCAGGGGTGGCGCCAGCAGTGCAGTGGGCGACAATGGAGGCAGGGCGGTGTAGTGAGGCAGGCGGTTGGGCCGGTTGTACGTGCGGTGGTTTCGGGAAAGAGATGAACATGAGGGCAGGAGGTTGAAGAAGGCGATATAGCCATTCATCTTGCATTCAACGACTCAAAACAGATCGACTGATCCAAATGTTTTTTTCCAGTCAACTTATATCTAGCCACGTCCCTAGTTTTGCTCTTGCTTCCATGATGCGCGAAGCGGGTGTGGCCTTGCCTCGCGTTCTGTCGTCACTGATTGTTCATCTTACCCACCTCGACCTTCTTTCAAGCCACCACCTTCCTCTTTACCCCATCCTTCTTCACCTCCATCGGTGGCACCAGGTCTGCGGGGACGAATTCCATGTAGAGCGTTGTTGTCTTGCCATACCGTCGTTCCTGTTGGCAAGTGTCACTAGTAGAAAAAAGGTCAAATGTGAAGCACATTAGTACATGTTTGGTTTTGAGCCGGCACTAATGTGTGCGTTAGTGCCGGTTCCAACGGCTAGCCGGCCGCTTTCATTACTACCGGTTCGTGGCGAACCTTTAGCACCGGTTCGTGCCACGAACCGGTACTAAAGTGAGTAGTGGCAGGATGTTGTCAGTCTGGGGCCCCTCCAGCACCTTTAGTACCGGGTCGTATCACGAACCGGTACTAAAGGTCGTCCTACATACACTCTTCGTCCACCCGAGCTCGCTCTGTTCTTTCCCTTTCCCTTATCCTCTCTGTTCTTCCCCTCTTCCTCTCAAGCTCATCACACATTTTGCCCAAAAATTGTCAAGATTTGAAGGCCCCCATCCATTCAAATGATCACAAAGGTTAGCAACTTTGTCCTTTCATCTCTCATTGCTAGATTAGCTCTTGCAATGCTTTATATAGTGATTGATTCGTGAGTTTAGTAATTTGGGAGGAATTATATATATGTGCTAGTATTTGATTTATATGCAATCTGAGGTCAAAAATAACACTTAGTTTACATATATAGGTGTGTTTTACTTAGTGCCATCTAAATCTCCGTCGTAACCACCGTCGATCGCTCGCACCGTCCCGTCGCCGGCACCACCTTGTGGTGAGCCTCTTGTTCATGAATGTTTTATATAAAAAATTGATGTTTGTGTGATTTGGATATATAGTTACTCGTATAATTATCTTACCTGTGCGTTGTTTGTTATACATAGTGCCATGGTTTTGGTATCCGTCCCCGTCGGCCCTCGTCCGGGTTATGATTCGGATGTGGTATATTCTCTTTTAAAACTATTTGTTGCATTTCGTGTTTTTGACAAATTATGCCCATCAAGATGACATAGATATTTGTATGTAGGAGGTATGTGAACCGAAAATTCCAACCGACCCTATTCTCAAGAGGTTAAATTTAGTTGAAAGAGAAAACGAGGATTTGAAAGAAAAATTGAAAAGAATTGAGGGGGAGAAGATGGAATTGGAGTTGCATGTTGCTGATGTCGTCGATGATCACAAGATTAAGATGGAGAAAATGCGCTTGAAGATTAGAAAGATTAGAAAATATGGCATTCATAGTGAGGCTTGGTATAATTATGTTGTAGGATCAATTGTTACCTTAGTTGCGATCTTGATCGCATTTGTTGTTGCATTTAAATTCTTTAGCTAGAGAGTTATTTGTTATTGCATTTAAGTGTTGTATGAACTTTATGTATGAACTTGTATTAATTTGGTCTTTTCGATGTTGTGTAATGAAGATGAGCCGACAATGGATGTACGATGACCGATGCTCTCTCGAGTTCATTAATGGCGTGCAAACTTTTCTTCTTGCGGCTGAGACAAATAAGCGGGCGGATGGTTTTATGCCTTGTCCATGTGTCGGCTGTAAGAATGATAACAATTACTCTAAGTCAAGAACCATTCACGTCCACCTGTTTGAGTCCGGTTTGATGCCCCACTATAATGTTTGGACCAAGCACGGAGAAAGAGGGGTTATGATGGAAGACAATGAAGAAGAAGAGGACGACGACAGCTATCCTGGCCATGATGGATTTCCTGAATACGATGATACAACAATGAGGGAAGAAGTTGAGCCGACAATGCGGGAAGAAGCTGAAGAAGAGGCATCAGATGAGCCCGCTGATGATCTAGGTCGGGCCATTGCCGATGCAAAGTTAAACTGCGCAACTGAAAAGGAGAAGAAGTTGCAGCGCGTGTTAGAGGATCACAATAAATTGTTATACCCGAATTGCGAGGCTGACAAGAAAAAGTTGGGCACCACATTGGAATTGCTGCAATGGAAGGCAGAGAATGGTGTATCTAACAAGGGATTTGGAAAGTTGCCGGTAATGATAAAGAATATGCTTCCAAAGGACAACGGATTGCCCCGAGAGTACGTACGAAGCAAAGAAGGCTGTCTGCCCTCTAGGGTTAGAGGTGCAGAAGATACATGCATGCCCTAATCACTGCATCCTCTACCGCGGTGAGTACGAGGATTTGAACGCTTTCCCGGTATGCGGTGCATTGCGCTATAAGATCAGACGCGGTGACCCTGGTGATGTCGAGGGCGAGCGCCCCAGGAAGAAGATTCCTGCCAAGGTGATGTGGTATGCTCCTATAATACCACGGTTGAAACGTTTATTCCAAAACAAAGAGCATGCCAAGGCGATGCGATGGCACAGAGAAGACTGTAAGAAAGACGGAAAGTTGAGAGTACCCGCTGACGGGTCGAAGTGGAGAAAAATCGAGAGAAAGTACGGGAAGGAGTTTGCAGATGACGCAAGGAACGTATGGTTTGGTCTAAGCGCAGATGGCATTAATCCTCTTGAGGAGCAGAGAAGCAACCATAGCACCTGGCCTGTGACTCTATGTTTGTATAATCTTCCTCCTTGGTTGTGCATGAAGCGGAAGTTCATTATGATGCCAGTGCTCATCGAAGGCCCTAAGAAACCCGGCAACGACATTGATGTGTACCTAAGGCCATTAGTTGAAGAACTCTTATAGCTGTGGAATGGAACAGGTGTACGTGCGTGGGATGAGCACATGGGGGAAGAATTTGACCAAAAGGCCTTGCTGTTCGTGACCATCAATGATTGGCCTGCTCTCAGTAACCTTTCAGGACAGACAAACAAGGGATACCGTGCATGCATACACTGTTTGGATGATACCGACAGTATATATTTGGACAATTGTAGGAAGAATGTGTACTGGGACATCGTCGATTTCTTCCAAGCAGGCATCCCGTAAGAAAGAAAGGCAAACATTTCAAAGGTGAGACAGATCACCGGACGAAGCCTCGCCACCATACTGGTGCTGATGTACATGATATGGTCAAGGATTTGAAGGTAGTCTTTGGAAAGGGTCCTGGCGGACAACCTGTTCTGAATGACGCTGACGAACGCGCACCCATGTGAAAGAAGAAATCTATATTCACTGGTAGAAAAAGGGCCTATAGTTCCGGTTCGTAAGGGCCTTTAGTCCCGGTTCTTGAACCGGGACTAAAGTGTCGGTACTAATGCCCCGGCCCTTTAGTCCCGGTTCAATCCAGAACCGGGACTGATGGGCCTCCACGTGGACAGTGCGCAGAGCCCAGTCAGGAGACCCTTTGGTCCCGGTTGGTGGCACCAACCGGGACCAATAGGAATCCACGCGTCAGCATTTCTGTGGCTGGGGTTTTTGTTTTTTTTTGAAAGGGGGGGGGTTGGGGGTTTTGGGGGGGTTAATTTAGGTGTTTCATATATTGTGTTAGCTAGCTATAATTAATAGAGAGAAGTGTCCTCTCTTATGTCCGTGCTTGGTCGACGCTACATACTATACATACGTATAGAGAGGACTAGACACGCTGGCTAGCTAGTAAGCAAACGAAGGAAACAGAAGATCGTCATGAACATATATGCATACAGAGAGAAGTGATATCGACCACCTCTCCTTCTCCGAGAGATTGGTCGAACAACAAGTTCTCGTATATCTATCTGACACTACCGGCTACATATATACAATAATTATCTCTTACAAATATAATCATACGGACTCAGGGTCCACATAGAATTCTCCGTCTTCAGGGATCACGTGGTCAAGAAAGAATGCCGCCAATTCCTCTTGAATTGCTCGCATGCGAGCTGGTGCTAGGAGTTCATCCCGCTTCCGAAACATCTAATTTGAAGAAGGGGGTCAATACATATATATATATATATATATATATATATATATATATATATAAATGAATGAAATTCAACACAAATGATGGTAATAAAATAAAATTGTGAATGTTGTTATTTACGTACTTCATATTGTTCGTTAGAGTACCCGCCCCGCTCATAGGTCGTGTGGCGGATGGACTCGCAGATGTAGTATCCACAGAAATCATTCCATTGTTCCTGCCACAA